GTTTGGTACGTTTGCATAGGATATGGGAGGATGGTACAAGATAATTTGTTCTCGTATTAGCCATTTTCGTTTCAAATGTTCTTTAACGCCTGGTTAAATGGTCATTTTTTATCATCTTCTTCTCCATGTAATTTAATTTTTCCATCTAATTTAATTTTTTGGGTGTCATCGAGCACATAATTGGGAGGATGAAGATCGGTGGACACGCGCTCGAAATTCAGGATGCTTGATCGATCGTCCCAATCGGAATCTCGCGCATGCAAGTTCCTTTGTACGCGGATCCTCTGATATGTAGCGAGCCATCGATGCAATTACAGTTATTAACGGACAATTATAATCACAATTTAATGTATTGACTGAAAAATACTTCATAGTTTAACTGGATTCTTTCAATGATTTTGTTTGAATTTGCACCGACCTTTTCAGATATTTTGAGTAGTATGTTTAGGAAAATGTATTGGTAGCTATGTATTCAACTTTGCACTCATGTCGTTCAAGAAATTCAATTTTTGATATAAGTTAACAATATGTTCGTCTATTTATTCGTAAATGTATTAACAGACATGATACGTATTAAATAATAATAGTTCAATATTAGTAGACACACAGAGAGAGAGAGAGAGAGAGAGAGAGAGAGAGAGAGAGAGAGAGAAATACGCCAATGAAAATATTATGAAATGTGTAAAAAGGTCGCCATAATTGATCTTTTCCGTACTGGTATGGACGACTAAAGTCGATAATCGCTAAACGCATACACACAGCCTACTATCATTGCTCGATTGTTTATGTCCTTCTGTTTAGACGTTCCGGGCATTTCGTTATAGGTGGTCTGTTTCTTCCTGTGCAATTTCTCAGTTTAAATAATTATTAGCAAATTCACTAACAAACAGATTAAATAAACATTGTGGTTGCTGCCAAGTAACACTACGCCGCGGACGAACATCGTATCGAAGAGATTAAACTTAAAATTTACTAGTACGTTCTATGAAGAATAACACTCTTGACCTATTGATGATGTATAAATAACATTTCACATACAGTATTTCTTTGAATTCCAATCAATATAATCACATTGCAATAATATATCCTCCTTTTAATGTATATTTGTTACAGCACTGGGTGATAAATATTTCTTACGATAATGAAAAAATACCAGTTTTATGATCCTACGATAAATTTGGTATTAAGAATATATATATTTGTCTTTATTAATAACTGTAACATCATAAATATTCGGAAACGAGAGAACAAGCGATTTGAATTCTTTCCTGGATCAGTCAATGAACACTGATTTTATTCTGTTTACAAATTACTTATCTCCTGACCTCAACCTTGATTATCGAGTCGATATAGCGGACGGTCAGTTCGAATAATCGTTTACTTTCGTTCTCCATATGATTTGTGTGTGCCGAGGAACACGAATTGCGCGGAAGCATATATTCAATAATAATTTACAACGAGCTGACGCGTTGATAGCAGGATCATTAAAATTAACGATTGATTATTCCTACAACTTAGAGATATGTTGATTTCTAACTATGTACTTCGATCATTAATAATATGTCAGCAAAACTTATAATTTATAAGTAAACATTTTATCAGTTATTACCTATATGATAATCTAGCAAGACGAGGTCGAATTCTTATTAAAAGCAAAAATAAATAAATAAATAAAATTACGTACAAAAGCTCGCCAAAGAGTTTTTTCTCAGTCGCTCAACTATCGTTCGTGTCTTATCGAACAGTATAGGTTAAACAGGGGCCATTGAAACTCCAATACGCTTGCGATACGTGTAAGCCTATTTTATCTAGCAGACAACATTGCCTGGTAACGGTGCATTGTCATTCGAAAATTGCACCAAAGGCGATGCTGCGAGGAACCAACCATCGAGGAGTACGGATACATTAAACTGGCGAACTTGCGACAGTCGTGACAAATGGCTCTCGAGGCCATTCGCGCGAGTATATTAACATCATAATGAAACTCGCTCCACCAGAAACGTCGTGACGGGTAATTGGAGTTCTTCATAGATTTGCGCGGCCACGCGTAACTTCTTAAATTCTACAGACACTTATATAGTAACGATCGAAGTCAAAGAATTCGAGGAAGATGCGATAAGTTCGCGCATCGGTATATTCCAGCAATTTACAATTAGTTCTGGCCGAACGTAATTAGGACACACGTGGCTGATAATGTCAACAACATGGAGCTTATTTACGTTGTGGCAGCTGGTAACAGAAGAGTTACCTTGCGCGTGGAATATGAACGATGGGTTCGTTGTGTAACTCGTATGTAACGTTGAAGGAACGGTATTATATAATATATTTTGTAAATATTATAGTTTATCACTCCATAATGTTTTCACATTTATTCAAACTTTCTCAACAGATCATCCATTTTGTTTCGTTAAATGACAAAAGTTCTTCGCATCGAGGAACAGTTCTTCGTTTAGATTCTACAGATTATTATTAGTTGATTATTATTAGTTAGTTGAAAATTTATTTCAATAGTCATTTTCAACGAAGGATATACGATCAACGTGACCACGTGCGATTTAAAATTCTGAAATTAACTATAAAATACAAAATGCTCTCCTATTCCCTGTAAGGTAACTATCACTCGTATGCTATATATATATCATCATTCATCTTCCACCATCCTTTTTCATTTCATTCTTTGCACAATTTGTCATATAGTCACCGAGAGCGTTTCTCAGCCATACATTAGCGTGTCATCGCCTCCCATCACAGGGCATAATCGACTGACAGAATTGAATCGCATCATATAACAAACGTGCATGCAACGAAGACTACTATCGACGTATCAGACAAACGGTCATTCGCTCTTAAAAGTTGCATGACCTGCCACGATTAGCATTTCCAACTGGGTGGTAATCGTCATCGGTAGCTTGGCATCAGATGACGCGTTCTCACAAGAGGGTCAACCCTCGATTCTCGTGTCACCTCACGATATCCAAGGAGTAAAGGCAAATCGACAGAGTGAGATGAAAGATATAGAAAAAAGTTTTTCGCTGAAAATGAGATTTTTATGAAATAGAAGCTTTCGTTTTAAAACAACTCGTTTATTAGTGAAGAAATGAACGAATAAATTTATCAATTTTTTACTATGCCATCTTCGTGCTCTTTTATGTATATTGGCGAAAAATGTTCATCCCAGCAGAAAGATATATATACATATTTATTTAAAAAAAATATTGCAACTGTAAAATTCACACATATTAGAGTAATGTAAAAAAAAATCGGCCGTAAAAATATGTTCTCTTTGTACGATATTTCTTTGTCCTCTACTATCTTTTTATTTTGGTTGCAATTAAAAAACGTGGTATGGCTAGCATCCTGTATATTATGATAAATATTTTGTTTAAAAAAAATTAAAATACCGTCGATCTCTATAGAGCACAAGGGATACGTCTCGAGCTATACAAATCACACGAGTTATACTAATTTAGACATAAAAAGTAAATCTTACATGCTTCATAACTATACACTTCTGTATGTTTACGAAGTTTACGAGATAAATATCGTTCTTATAAAAAGTGAAAGAAAAATGGCAAAGAATCGATTTTGTTAGATATCGTTAGACTCATCGGCTCTCGTTCGCCGGTTGATACAAAGAATGTATGTACATAGCAAGCGGACGACGATGACGACGACGACGACGACGACGACGAC